TAGCAGTACAGATGCAAGAGGTCAAAAAGCAGACCTCCTCTGTGGCAGCGGTGATCTTCTCTTTTACATTAGCAGAAACCTGCAGCCATAATTATCAATGTAAATTTTAGAACAGATGCAAGTTTCTTATGATAAAAAACGAAGAACAAATCCAGACTGAACAAAAATGATATGCACCAGAAACAACATAATATTTGCACAGAAGTTGCCATCGAGAATTCTAACATATAGAAGCACTACAGATTTTTAAGGTATGTGAAATAAGACCTTCTTTGCTGCAGCTTCAGCCTCTGTCCACGCACCATCCACCTGCTTGTATAGCTGTTCTGTTGTCTGCTTCGTTCTGCATTCGCCATTTCACCATCTCAGAGCCTCCATTTGGAAGTACCCAGCCAGACTTGACATACAAGGGTATGTCTCAGCCTATATACTAGAATACTAAAATTTCTCATGGCATGAAGTGACAATATCAAATAATTACCTCACTTTCAGGTCTTCTTTAACGCCTTTCAGCTCTTCTGCTTTCTCTTTCAGCTCCTTAACTGACTGTTGAAATTCTGGATTCCTGCAACCAGGGCAATGGATGTGAGCATAATGACTCTTAATAATAATAACAATAGTAGAAGAAAATTTATAATTATTAAAAAAACTAAGAAGAGAAAAACAATTCTGCAGCGATTTTAATAACCAACTGGCAAACTAGAAAGAAGCTATCACGTTTTACTTCCTAATGGAAATGGGGACTCAAGCTAGTACTACAAGTTTCTCACTGTAAATTGAGAGTCAGCTACATAAGGATTTTATATCTCAAAAAAACCAATGTCTAACGCAAAACAGCTCAACTAAGCCAAAAGATTGCGTTTTAGTTCACGAAACAACGTTTTTTTATTTCTTATAGAGCAGACGCTTAACAATTTGTTCCGAGTTAAACAAATTTGACCCAACATTTAAACAATAAAAACCAATTAAAATAGCAGATACATATTACATTAAAAGAACTCCTCAGCTTTTGGCAGCCCAATATGCTTTACCAATGTAAATGCCATAACATACAATACAAATGTGCATACATATATACATATTAAAAACGTAAAACAGAGTGATTAAGTGAGTGAGAGATACTTGGTAGCTTCGCCTTTGACTTGCTTCGAAAATTCATTGAAGACACTGAATCGACGACTCCCCGAATACCCATTAGCTGAAATCAACCGAATTCTCGTGCTTGAAACCTATCTCATCAAATTCAAAACCCCCAACCCAATAAAAAAAAGATATTAAATTTACCCAAAACATACTTAAAAAGTTTGAAACTTTGATTCGAAACTTCTTCCAAAGGAACGAACCTGTTGTTGGGGGGTCAGCTGATGAAAGAAGGGTTGTCTGTAAAGGTGCAAATCTCGCACTAGCTTTCTAGCAGCCATCAAATTGGGGGCAAGCTAAATTTTCTCAAACAGAGAAAAAAACGATAGCTTTTTTCTTTTTCCGTTTTGTTTTTGCCTTGGAAAAATTTGAAGGGTGGGTGTCCGAATTAGTAGCCAGTGTCCCAACTTGGGAAGGAAGAAAGGGACGAAGGAAGAAGGAGATGAACGTGAAAGTTACACTTTCACAAACCAAACCAGGCCTTGACTCTCTAGGGTTTCTGTTTCCTTTTCCCACCATATTTTGGAGATGCCCCATTGGCCCAATACTGTTTTCTCAAAAGGCCTGTTAATGGGAAAGCCCAACTCATAGTTTTTAGCCCGATTATTATTATTTTTTTACCCAAAATGCAATAATTTCTTCAATTTTTTCTTAAATATTTATATTTGTGGGATTTAATTGGTCTATAAGCAAAACTACACAATTAAAATGACAAGGCCAAAGTTAAACATGAGTCAAATTACAGGGATAAAAATGTAACTTGACCTATTTCCTTTTAATGAATGAAATTCCCCTATTAATAACACTTTTAAAAATCAAACCAAATTAATAACTTGAGATTCACAAAGATTTTTAAGCTTAGGCAGAGTACACTAGTATAATGGGTTCGAACAATTGGTTCTCCAAACAAGGTCCTGAATTCGAGTCCTAATATCCATATAATATGTGTGAATTTATTATATCATCTCCCCTCTCAATACGATTTTTAAGCTTAGTATCCCTCCCATCCCATTACAACCCACCCTATCAATTGTAGGTTGATGTAGCATGTAAAATTCTTCTCTACTTGTACCTTTGATGCCACATAAATTTTGATGGTGAATTTTTACTTCATCAATCAACATCCAGAAACTATTCAAGAAAAGGAAAATAGTGAGTACATAAATATTTGATTTGATCATGACCAAATAATATAAGTTCAATTCAAATTTTCAACCACTCATATGGTGACTCTCAAATGATCAATATGCAACTAGATTTGATTTGCCACCACATAAAGTGTCCACCATCAAGAATGAAGTATTCTATTTAGTATTTGGGCCCACACAAACAATTGAAACTAGATGAAAATAAAGCAAAGGGCAAAAAAAACACAGATGGGTTGCTAATGGCAAGCCTCATTGGCAACGGAGAAGCGCTGGGCTTGAAGGGCTGCAGCCTTATCCGACACCAGAGCTTGAATGACCAAAGTCTTCACCTCCCAAGCACTGTACGGAAACCCCTTCCTGGCGTAAGAGTTCAGGAGGGCGGCGCTCGCCTGCTTCAGCAGCCTAGGGTAGACGTTCTCCTCGTCGTTCCTGACCGTCGCTTCCAGTAGCGTCAGATCAGATCTGTACCGTTCGTAGGCTCTTGATCCGAACACCTTCGACACCGTTGATGTCTGTGGGACCATCCTCGGCCACGCCTCCCTCCTGCTCCCCCAATAGCTGTGCAACACAAATAAACTCATCATTATAGGACACGATGGGCATTTCAGTAACTTCACCACAAGAAAGAGAAAAACAGTGAGAGAGATAGAGCTTACTGTGGAGTGCATCTTCCTGTGGTTCTTGTGAAGAGAAAGCCTGGCCTTTGGGTTTTGGCTGTTGTTGAGGGTACAGAGCAAACAATAAGAAGAAGAAGAAGAAGAAGAACGAGTTGACCCAGTTGAGAAGGCCTCAACAGCCTCAACATATCTTCTTCTTGCTTGGTTTAGGATCTGAGTTTGTGCTGTTGAGAATATTTGGCATGACTCGGTTTCAAACTTGCTCTCTCTCTCTCTCTCTCTCTCTGTCTTTTTCTTTTCTCCTTGGAGCTCTCCCACCGCTCTCTGTGGTTTTTTTAATGCACTTGGTCCAGTTCTCCATACTAGTGGTTTTACCAATTTACCCTTGTATGGGTGTACGTTTTTATTGCCATCTGGTTTTAAATTAGTGGAGGGTGAAATTGTCTTCCACTTAGGTCCACGTGCAAAAGAGTTAGGTGTGTTGGAACATGTTTATATGCCTTCATCAGATTGGACATGTCACATTAACTTCCCTAAGGAGAAGTGACAAAGTGTAACGAGGTGTGAGAGTAAACTTCGGTGTCCGTTACTAGCACGTGGTTTTACTAATTTATTGATGTTGTAATATTTGTTTTATTAATATTATATTATATGAATTAGTAACAATACGTGATGCTAAAACATGAAACACTCAAAAACTTCTCACTTGTGAAGGATTCTTTCTTCTAAGCTTCATGTTTTTCGTGTCTTGCTACACTTTTGTTGCGTATAAAAAATCGTCGGAGGGAGTTATACACATAAATAACATTTCATTTTACTTTTCGTCTTTCAATTCAAAAAATTGTTATGGTCATCCTTCGTTTAGATATCACGTTGTACCACTCTTTCTTCCGTCAATTCTGTTAAATTTTTTGTCAAAATTAAGGGTAAATTAGGAAATTTATATCAAATTTTAGGGGCAAATAAGACTTTTACCTAATCACCACCTCATTCTACCTAAACTCAATGACAACTCTCTATCTCTCTCTCCAATGATCCTTTTGGGTTTTATTTAGATTGTTCAATTGATTGAGAGGAAGACCAATCAATGAAAAAGGTTGGAAGGAGGAGATTGACGAACAGAAGGAGGAAGAAAATGAGAGAAGGAGAGAGTGGGTCTGTGGGGTTGGGTCGATCGGTTGCAAAAATGAGAAAAGGTTGGGAGGAGGAGATTTTCATCTGGCCAGACGGGATAGTTTGTGAAGGCATATCTCATGGTTGTAATCTTCAATATGAATGAAGCAATTTTTTTTTTTTTTATGAAGAAAAGTTTAGGCGAAGAAGAGGGTACCCAATTCTAAGACCAGGGCATACTAAAACTTGTTTGAGAACTTATAAATGAAGCAATTCTTCAATGACTTCAACATAGGAATATCCTTTTCTCATGCAATCCTTTAAGCCTGAAAAGATTAGTGAAGTGCTTACATGGATGATATGTGACCTTTCATCTTTCAGAAAATAAGTGCAGGTTTATACAATATTCGCTGACAAAAATTCAAAAAAGTTTCCAAGTTTCAAATACCCAAAAAAATAAAAAGAAGATGTAAAATATTTTAAAGTGGTACCAACCAACTTCCAAGTAATAAAGTAAAGTAGTTAATGAGAGGTAGGTTTGGCATAAAAGTTGAGAACAACAAAACTGAAGAATATCTGATGGTGTTGATGTGAGAACAATGTAGAAGATAGAAGAATAACAACACAACAAAACTCATCACAGACAATCAGGTGCAGTTCACGTTTCTCACCAAGCACGCAGTGTCAGATGGGCCCGGGTTCGGATCCCAAGTCCCATGAATTCTACTTCACCAAACGGCCAGGTGCAAATCAAGCTCAGAACCAGACAACAATATTGACGAGAAACCCCACCGCTGGTTGCCGCATATATAGCCAGCTGCCACTGCTACGCAAAATGAGGTGTTAACAATTCTCGGTCTCAAAGCCATGCAAGCGGAAGAATGGCAAAATATGCCTTACACACGAAACTCTACGTGTCCACGCCTCAACTCATTTTCCCTCCTATAAATACCAGCGCCTACCGCTCGCAGCTATACCATCTCAAACACAAGATACAAGTGAGCTCGAATTACAAGTTATCTATCTCCTTCTCATTTCTTGTGTTATGGCTAAGGCTTTCGTTTTCTCTCTTTGCTTGCTTCTGGTTTTCAATGGCTGCTTAGCGGCACGCCAGTCCCAGTTGAGTCCGCAGAACCAGTGCCAGCTCAACCAGCTCCAAGCCCGCGAACCCGACAACCGCATCCAGGCGGAGGCGGGTCAGATCGAGACCTGGAACTTCAACCAGGAGGACTTCCAGTGTGCCGGGGTCGCCGCCTCTCGAATCACCATTCAGCGCAACGGCCTACACTTGCCCTCCTACTCCAACGCCCCTCAACTCATCTACATCGTCCAAGGTCACGTGTTATTACTACTATATCTAATTAATTAAGTATTAAATTACGAGACTAATTAATTGAGTCGTTAGTTTACTAAATAAAATATTGCATGCATGGGTGTGCAGGTAGGGGTGTTCTAGGAGCAGTGTTCTCTGGGTGCCCTGAGACTTTCGAAGAGTCTCAGCAGTCTCAAGAACAGGAACAGGAACAGGAACGACAACAACAACAACAACAACAACAGGGAGAACAAGGACGACAACAGGGCCAACAAGAGCAGCAGCAAGGCCAACAAGGGCGCCCGCAACAACAACAACAATTCCGACAGCTCGACCGCCACCAGAAGACCCGCCGCATCCGTGAGGGCGATGTTGTCGCCATACCTGCCGGAGTCGCCTACTGGTCCTACAACGACGGCGACCAGGAGCTTGTTGCAGTCAACCTTTTCCACGTCAGCAGCGATCACAACCAGCTCGACCAAAACCCAAGGGTACCTAAATAATTGTATAATTATTTAATTAGCAAAATCACCATTCAATTAAATTATTTACTTAACTAACTCTACCTTTATCTCTTATGTAGAAATTCTATCTAGCTGGTAACCCAGAGAATGAGTTTAACCAACAAGGCCAAAGCCAACCCCGCCAGCAGGGTCAGCAACCATTCGGACGTCCCGGACAACAAGAACAACAAGGAAACGGCAACAACGTCTTCTCCGGCTTCAACACACAGCTCCTCGCCCAGGCCCTCAACGTCAACGAAGAGACTGCCAGGAACCTCCAGGGACAGAACGACAACAGGAACCAAATCATCAGGGTAAGGGGCAACCTCGACTTCGTCCAGCCCCCAAGGGGACGACAGGAGCGTGAGCACGAGGAGCGACAACAGGAGCAGCTCCAGCAGGAGAGGCAACAACAAGGAGGACAACCGATGGTCAACGGTCTTGAGGAGACCTTCTGCAGCTTGAGGTTGAAGGAGAACATCGGCAACCCTGAGCGTGCCGACATCTTCTCTCCCCGGGCCGGCCGCATCAGCACCCTCAACAGCCACAACCTCCCCATCCTCAGGTCGCTCCGCCTCAGCGCCGAGAGAGGCTTCTTCTACCGCGTAAGCAATTACACAAACATATATATAGTTGCTAATTAATATTTAATTAGGATTAACTAATGATCTTGATAATGCTTAATAATTAATGTTCTAATGATCTTGATAATGCTTATTATTATTCTTGTGCATGCATGCAGAACGGTATCTACAGCCCACACTGGAATGTGAACGCCCACTCAGTGGTGTACGTGATCAGAGGAAATGCTAGGGTTCAGGTGGTGAACGAGAACGGAGATGCAATTCTTGACCAGGAGGTGCAGCAGGGACAGCTGTTCATAGTCCCACAGAACCACGGCGTGATCCAGCAAGCCGGCAACCAAGGGTTCGAGTACTTTGCCTTCAAGACGGAGGACAATGCGTTCATTAACACCTTGGCTGGACGGACCTCCTTCCTACGTGCACTGCCGGATGAGGTGCTGGCCAACGCATACCAAATTTCTCGAGAGCAGGCGAGGCAGCTCAAGTACAACCGGCAGGAGACCATTGCCTTGAGCTCCAGCCAGCAGAGGAGGGCAATTGTGTAAATGTATGAAGAAAAATGTAGTGAATGCGGCACGTAGTGTTTTTTGGAGTTGTTAAAAAGAAAGGAAGCGGAGCCTGAGACTGAGAGTGTATAAATAAAAGATCCTTATAAGGCTTGTTACTAATAATGTAAGAGGAGAGAGTCTAGCTACCAAGTAATTAAATAGGTACTACGTGTAATCTATGCATATGTAATGAAAATTTCCCCCCTTTTTCCTAAACGCGTCTTGTTTTTTCTATACATTTCTACCCTTCATCATGCTTAATTCCTACTAGTTTTCTAATAAAAATTATAAATAAAAGCTATATGAAGAAATTCTTTAAAATCATCATGGGAAGTTATTGTATTTGTTCTACTTAAATTAACTTTTATGGAAATTTGACATTTTAACAAGCAGATTAATTATGATTCCGTTACATTATTAATTTGATGATTCCGTTCCATTATTAATTTGCAATTGTATGTGTAACCACAAGTTACCAAAAACGCTACTTGATGGATGAGTATGACCAATTTGCTTAGTGTCATGATAAGACCAAGAAAGCAAAACCGTTCTTCCATTTCCTTCTAATTTAATTAGACAATAAGGAACCTCATATATAATAGAACATGTATTACCCAAGTGTTGATCCACCAAGAAAGTCTTACCATACTTCCAAACAAACAATATCAATATGTCTTTGCTCATAAAAAATGTGTTGCTGCTTCTACTAGTGTCGGTGTTGGTGTTGTTCCAAACTACTTGTGATGCAGACCCTGTTTTTTTCCAGGTAAACAAAATGTTAGAATAACTAATGATTTGGGTGCAGAAATGACCGTTCATTGCAAATCCAAGGACGACGATCTTGGTTTTCATGTTGTCCCCATCAAAGGTACCTATGGGTTTAAATTTAAACCCAATTTTTGGGATACAACCCAATTCTTTTGCAGCTTCAAATGGGGAACTGAATTCCACTATTTCGACATTTACATACACGAGAGAGACAGCAGGCTTTGTGCCGATAATGAGTGCATGTGGAGCATAAGACCAAACGGTCCATGCAGGTGGGACAGTACCTTCCGATCTTACCTTTGCCATCAGTGGAACAAGAATAAATAATCTCAAGTCGCATGTTCCTCCATTTTAATTTTAGTTTCTTTGCTGTTATGTTATGTGAGATGGAAAATGTGACTCATGTTATGTTCTTCTTCATTTGTAATAAACATGACCTTTGACTTTGCGTGTCATGTAATTTGCAAGTTTTAATTTAATTGTAAGGTCTTTGAGTGAGTGAGTGGTAGTGGGATTCTCCTAATAAATATCATTCAAGATGCTCTAATGAAAGAAGTACTAATTTGATAAGAGTTCTTTACACCATGTGGTGTGTTCATATGTATGTAATTGATAACTGAATGTTATAAATGAATTTTGTTTTTTGATAGTTAACTGATCTTGCTGCGTTCTAAAAGTCTATAAATGAATGAACTCATTGTGTTTCTAGAGAGAAGGGAAGGTATCGGTCAAGCTTTTCCAGCCCGAGGCCATTTTCGGTATTTAGATACGCACAAGGTCGAGCAAAGAGCGAACAACAAATAAGGACTGTAGGAGCGATTTTCGTCTCACGAGAATATTCGTATAAGATTCTGTCTTCCCCTTTGTCGTCTCTTTCTCCCTACAAATCAAATCGGAATAAGAGAACCACATCCGGGGGGGTATTGGCCAAAGGCCCTTCGATGCCTAAGTTAATTCAAGTGTTTGTAGGAAAACAATAGCTAACGGATAGGGTACGGAGTTGTATGTATACTGTGAACGGGGCGGCCAGAGCCATGTGTGGTGGCCGGAGCCTTGTGTGAGAGAGAGAAAGAATAATGCGGCTAGGGTTTGTGAAAGATAATTTCTGCAGAGTTTCAGAGAGGAATTTAGACGTAGGTTTAGAGTTACCTCAAGCCTTGGTGTAGCCATGTATTTATAGGAGCCTTAGAGGCTAGGGTTTCGGAAGAATAATTCCATAGATTGAAAGAAATTATTCTTCCCCAATTTGGAGAGATTGACGTAATTAGGGATTTGATTTCGAATAATTTCCAATTGAATCAAATAACTCATAATTAGGCCAAATAATGCCCAAACGGAAGGAAATATTTGACCTAGGATTTGGCTAAAATTCGATTCCCATAAGGACCACGTCACAGTATCCAGGGTCAAGGTCGGGCAGACAATAGACAACATATGAGGACCACGGTCACGGTACTCAGGGCTGAGGTCGAGCAGACATCGGATAATAAATAATGGCCATGACCTGTCCACTATCTCGAGACACACGCGAGGGTCCTATTGAGGAAAACTTGGAATGGGGTTTCTAGAAAAGTGAAAACTTTCCACCCTGTATGAAAAGTGAAAGGCATTAACTTTGGCTATAATGTCATGGGACCCACGATAAAACATGATTACGAAGATGAGTTGATCCAACTTTGTTTGAGCTGGCGAATTGTCCTCCAATTAGAGCAAGTTGTAGACCATGTACTTGACCATGTACTCGGTCACGGCCTAGGTCATCAGAGACTGAGGATAAAGGTTGAGTGCCAGAAATGCGAGTCCATTATCTTGGGAAATGGACTGATTAACAGCCACTGAAGCCAGAAATAGTAAACAACTCAAAGTCAGTTGACCTTGGGGCCCACAACTAAAAAGTGAAGGATAGATGCAATCCCTCAAATCCCTATATTTGCCAAGCACTCTCTACAACTCTCCTATAAATACAAGACCCCTAGCAACATTTAAAGGGTCCCCGGCCAGCCAAGCTTCCTACTGAGCAACTTATCTTTTCCTATCATTTATCTTCCAATCATGTACTTTCAATATCTTTAAATGCTTTCCTAGGAGTAGTGGTAAAGTTAATCTTCCATCTATCAATATATCATATGACCCTTGATTTTCAAGGTACTGGAGCACCATCCCAGTTACTATTCTGTCCATCCCATATATCATACAGCCTTCGCAATCTAGCGAGGCGTTGGAGCACCATCCAAATCCACCGATTGTCATTTCCACCACCAACTCTCAACGGCCTCATAGCTTATGTCGTGAACCTAACGCCGAGAATTGTTCCTCTTTCGGCCACAATCGTTTTGAGCGAAGTCAGATCCAACAGGCACACTCAATCAATCCATCCATCCATCTGTATCATCATCAATCGCACGATAGACCGTGCTGACACGTCAACACACACCCCACCCAATACAAAGTAGGACGACTTGTGTTGACGTATATCCTGTCGGCCCGCTACAGTAGGCTGTAAGATTTGCGCAGCCAACAAAAACTTTGTACTTACTTATATTTATAAAAAAAAATAAAAAATAATAATAATAATAAAAAGCATTCTTTGTATTTTGCTTATATATATAATGTTCTATAACTCTATTTATATTTGATGTTACAACTTTGTGTACATATTCTAAAATTTCTGCTTTCATTACTTATTATAAGGAGAGAAGCAACTCATATCAATGGCAAGGTATTGAGCATGGTAGGTTACTTAAGGCACATTCCAATCGACTCTAGGAATATTATTAACCCTTCGCAAAATTAGGCTTAGCATCAGGCCTAGCAAGCCCTAAATTTTTGGGGTCGGGCTCAGGTCGGCCCTTGTTGGCCTTTCGTATATTTTTTGTTCAGGTTGGTATAAGGTTTCAAATGTTAATGCCCGAGCTCACCCATTGGGCCAAGCCGGGCTCCCACGAGCTTTATTTGTTATAACTAATTTGGGAACATATTTTCAGTTGTATTTCTTATTGCTAAATCAATAATGTTGGTTATGCTCTGTTGTTGTTGTAAGGAATTCTTATAGCGATCTGATACATACAAATTGGAGTTATTATTGCAAAGTTATTATTAAATTGTTGGATTGTACTCCTCATTATAAACTCTCAACATAGAACTGTTATAAAGTCCTAATTCATCTATCTTTTTTTAATTGGAGAAAAAACCTTTGTGTGGCGTTATTTTTGTCACATGAAGATGTTGAGTGGTAAAATAGTCTAAGTTAACATATGTCATATTTTCAAATTAATTGACAATTTTAGCACATGCCCTCTTTTTACTGGATTTTTTTGTTTGCTTGGCCAAGATGAGTTGTTTTTTCCCAAGGGTTAATAATATATGGCTTTCGGTTTCTTTGCCTTTTCTTCTTCTTTTTTGCTTTTTACTTTGCATTTTTCTAAGGCATTTGGGAGCTCTTGTTTTAAAGCATCTGTCTGAGGCATTTGAGAGCTCTTGTTTTACAGCATTTGTTTGAGGCATTTGAGAGAGTAAGAAGTGACCAAGTGTAGAGATTAGTTTTCATTTTTTCAGATTGTTGGACAATGGAGATTGTTGAAGAAGTTTTGGATAAGAGTGAAGAATTTGTGCCTATTACTGTAGATGTAGAGAATCTGTCTGAGGAAGCCTCTGTCAAGTCCGTAGAGGTAAGAGGAAATATTAAAAGTCTACCAACCTCCAACACCATCTGCTGTTGCTGGAAACAGAGAAGAAAATGCAAGTTTTGCAAGCAAATTTGTGAGCAAATTGTCAAAATTCTTCGAACACAATGGTTGGGTGGAGGAAAATCAAGGCATGTTGCTGCTTCTCTCTTCCGTGATAGCCATATTCTATTTTCAAAACCTTCTTAACCCACCAGGAGGTCTTCGACAACAAACTACAACAAATGTTGATGATGGAGACTACTCCACAGAAAGACCATGTTTTGCTGGAATCGCATTGCTTGGCAATTCCCGCTGGTCAAGCCATATCTACTCCTACTTTGGCATGTTTAACATATTATATTTTTGCAATTGTCAAACTATTAATTTTCTAATTTGTAATGGATTCCCTACAAAGCATCGCATATTCATATTCATCCAATTAATGCTTATGTGTGTTTGTCTCGTATTGGTGTCAATCATGTCTATGATATTGACATATTTTCAAATTAATTGACAATTTTAGCAGATGCCCTATTTTTACTGGATTATTTTGTTTGCTTGGCTAAGTTGATTTCCCCCCCCCCCCCAAGGGTTAATAATATATGGCTTTCGGTTACTTTGCCTTTTTTCTTCTTTTTTTTTTCTTTTTACAACAACGATAATCTAAAATACAATAATGTACGAGGAAGAGATTCAAAATCGAATGCAAGAGAACAAGCACATTACCTTGGCCAACTGGCCTAACCCACATTTACACTTTACCTAATTTTGTGCGTGTTTCTT